AACCATACATCGCAGAGAACGATAATATAAATAAAAAAGGGGCGGATTGTACAGGTGTTGAGAGACTATCATGTGGACTACAATTAAACAATAGTAATTGTACTAAAAATATGAATACAAGATAGAAAATACCCTTTCTTATTTTTAAAATTAAATTTTTTTTTATATATCCCAACTTATATTTATCATATCTGGAAGAAAGTTTAAACGATGTTTCTCGAAAAGTTCGCAGTGAGGTTGTAATTCTCATATAGATACACCGATTACAGCTATGCCCCAAATTAATTTGACATAGCAATAATAATAATTTCTTTGAAATAAAATAACGGATCACTGCTGTTTAATAATTTAATTGATTTCTAAACTTTATACAACGGAAACAGAGAGAATAAAAAATACTTGTGCGTGTAATTGCAGTCGCTAACCGAATGTCTGTGTAATGTGAACAATAACATTCAAAAGTACCGTCGACCCCCGTAACTAACAAATCTGCCCCAAAAAGCCCCATAAACGTCAGAGAAATGAACCATCATAAACCGGCAAATTTTTGAAGTCCTTGTACTTATAGCAACCAATAATGCTAGTCGGTATTTTGTATTTCACAGAAATTTCTGATGGTGGACAAAAATTCATAAACCCCAGCCATTTCTTTTGGTGGAGCGGTATGTGCTGAAAGCGGTCTTTGAAATGAATATCTACAAATATGGTTACGGAGACCGAAATACCAGATGTTGGAAAAATTAACTATAACTAAATTATTTATATACACTTATTTGAATATTAAAATTCACATATTATTCATAGAATATAATGATGTTAATTGAAACAAACTAATATCTACTTTCAATTTTGAAAATTCTGAACTTTCGTCGCAGTTGAGTCAGATTCAGTTATCCCATCATAGTGTCTTCATGTTCATAATAGGACGTCAAAATCTTCACTGGGTAATAAGAAACTCAACCAATTCGTGTAAAAACACCCATTGTTGAATAGATAAAAATCCGAACTGTAATTATTCATTAGTAAATTGCTTTTTGCGTAAATTTCCCATTTTACAGGAATTATTTATGTATTATACGTTTATTTACAGTTACTTATGGCCTAGTAAGTAGATTGGCACCCTTTGGAATATCTCGTCTACCATGAAATGCACCATATAAATCAACCAAGTAGCATTTCTGTGTCCCAATGAGTTTGCTTAATTAAATTCTCCTCTCGATTAAAATTTTATTGAAACTTTACAAACTACTTAGCTATTAATTGTAAGTTAATAATAGCTTTAAGAACCTGTTAGCTTGTTTCAAATAAATTAGTGTGCGACAGATGTTTTACTAGGCGATACTACTAAGCACACATTAATTCTAACAATTATTTTTCATATCTTGTAACAATAATCATACAATTCATGTAGTTTCGTGATTTTTTTCTTGAAACTCAACTCAACCGATCATCATAAAATTTTATACACACATTCTCAGGGGCACAGAAAAGCGCACAGGGTACATTTTATCCAGAAAAAATATTGTTCCCGAGAGATAGAAAAGAATTAGTTTTATGTAGTCGATTTTGCGTCTTAACTAATCAAACAATCATCATGAAATTTTGTAGATATGTTGTCAGGGGTACAGAAAAGTACATGAGGTACATTTTATCTATAAAAAAGGTTGTTCCCGAGGGATAGAGAAATTAGTACAATGTGGTCGATTTAATGTCTTAACCAATCGATAAAATTTTCTAGATACATTGTCAGTACAGGAAAGGACATAGGGTACCTTGTATCCAGAACAAAATAGTGTTACCGAGGGATAGAAAAATTAGTTTAATGTGGTCGATTTTACCATTAACTACTCAATCAATCATCATGAAATTTTGTAGACACATTATCAGCGGCATTATGAATTGATACGATCTTCTCTTTATTGGACAATTGGACGATGTACTTATGTTAATTTCTACTAAGGACTTTGAAAGGACTGTGGTAGGAGAATTGTAGAAAATTTTTCCTTCAGCAGTTGTACCTTTTAGGTCTTGTTTTCACTTATTACTTCGATGACATATTATAGTAGTTTTCAACTGGTGGTGAAAACGCTGAACCAGTGCGGATACCTTTCGCGTTCAGTGTGCTTGTTTGTTGAAGAGTTGAGGTTCGGGCAGTCTGACTTGGTCTGTTGTGACCCTTAATGGTGTGCCAAAGCGGTAAATCTGTCCTTCGTGGAATGCGCATACTAAATTCGCAATTGATTCTTTGTGGAGAAATCTCGGTCTGCAATATAGCATCAGCAGCTTTTTGAGTACGATATTACGACTATATCCATATGTAGTTATGTATGTCCTCAAATCGTTCTGTTCTTGCGTCAAAGGTGCCTACAGGAGTATAAACATGCTGGGAAATTCTATCTTGACATGGAATGCATGCGCGAGTCCATTTTGCACAACCACTGTTTGTTGAAATAAAACGCCGTGTTATTAGTTTGATAAAAGCATGTATGCAAGGATGCTTAAGGGAATGTAGATATTAAGAAGGCTCTTGCTTTTCCCGTCGAAAAACCACAAAAATGGCTTTGTTTGTGCCCGGTATTGAACTTTCTGTTTCTGGATTCTTGCTCGAAGGAAAGAGCTACATAATCTGTGGGAGTTTTCTACTCTGAAATTCGTGGTAATATGTCTTATATGACGTTGTCCTTGCATCTGTTTAGAAAAGGGTGCTGACATTCAAATGACGTAACTGTTTAAAGAACCATTTATCAGGATTATGACGTAGGCAAATGTGAGAGGCTTATGATCTACGAAAATTATAGTAACAGGTTTCCAGAAAATGACGAAAATGCTTAATTACCCGATAAACTGCGAAAAGTTTTCGCATTTGATCTCTGCGTTTAAGAGTTTCCTTCGCGATATTGTTGTAACGCAGTGCCCAAATAATGGCTGGAAGCGTCACACAAAAGGACTAAGTTAGCGTTCGGCTGAGCATAATGGAGAGCAGTATGAGCAAATTGTTTGTTACTCACGTGGATTGCGTCGTCAGCCATTGGGTTACATCGTAACGTTGTGCCGTCCTTCTTTTTACCTTGAAGGAGTAGAAATTTTCTGTGAATGTAAGCATACCCAGAAATTGATGTAGCTTACTTGCGATGCCGGGTTTGGGATGGTTATTTATTGTGGTCACCAGGTGAAGGGCGATCCCTTTTATCGAGTTAGATTAACCTAAAAGAGATAATTCTTTTTCTCTGAATCTACATTTTGTAAAATTTAATAAAACCTATAGGAAATTAAACATGCATACACTGCGTGTATGTGCTATTTATGCTGTTCTTGTTCTTCGGACTGCTTCATTGATGAACCGTTGAAATGTTTGGCTGGCATAACGTGATCCAAAATTTATGTATGGAAATTCCAATAATCCAAATGAAGTTGTTATTATCGTTTTGGATGCCTTAGCAAGAAATTCGAATTTCATTGTTGGTTCAAATCGGATCAATTGTAGATAAAATGTTTTGTTTAAAAAGAAGTGGAATGAATGGATGATTTTTTTAAGTCCTTGTACCACTTTATCCAACTGTTGGATCGTGTAAGTTGTAGGATTCCAGTGGAACCAATGATGGACGACATGATGATTACAGTGGGTGGTTGCAAATACCGTGCGACTTATTTCTCTGCATGCCGTACTGAGTATCCCCACAAATAGTAATAAGTTTAATGTCAGTAATATTAAGTATAAAATAATAACAAATGTACAAACTCACTATGATTTCGTTTAATGATTACCGCCAAAAACAATTCAGAAAGTATCGCCCATCAACAAATTGTATACTATACTAACTCTGTACTATACTATATTCTCTATGCTATATACCCTGTGCTATACAATATTTCTATTAGGTTACGATGTGGAGGAATACCATTGTTAAGATATGTACTTTGCCCCATCGATAATGGTACCATTCGTCCAAATTTTACTTTGATTTTACTAGTGTATTAATTATTATATATATATAAGAAAGTTTAAACGATGTTTCTCGAAAAGTTCGCAGTGAGGTTGTAATTCTCATATAGATACACCGATTACAGCTATGCCCCAAATTAATTTGACATAGCAAATTCTTTAAAATAAAATAACGGATCACTGCTGTCTAATAATTTAATTAATTTCAAAACCTTACAATGGAAACAGAAAAACTTTTACTATACGCATGAGTATTATCTGTTAAATAAATGTCTGTTCCGGCAGGATACTTCTCGTAAAAACTTTCCTGGTGCAGTCTATCACAATGTATAAACTCATATTAGATATTACTACCNGACTACGCCGGAAGGTAGGGCGGAAGGCCCTCTTCAGCCTGCTTTCAGGAATCGTGGGAATGGGTGGGTGGTGGTTCGGGTGAGAAAGATGAGACGAACGAAAAGAAGACAGAAGAGAATGAAAGATTATCTGTGGAATATTACTGCCCCAGCATTTGCCTAAATGATCCAAGGAAACCACAGAAAAACTTGGACCAAGGCAGACGGACCCGGAATCGAACCGGCGTCCTCCCAAATGCTAAGCAATGGTCTAGACCTCTAGGTCATGCCGCTCGGTGCGAGCCCCTCAAGTCCGACTCGTTTTATTGACGCCTCAGGTAGCGACCCCATGTTTCGGTCGTCCTTGTTAGGCTCTCCGTACTTACGAAATAAATACATACTTTTACAGTTGCTACATATTTTTTCTAAACTATAAACTAAGCCTAAACAGATTCTAAGCCGGGTTGTAATACTACCTGCATGTTTTCCCGATATTACATTATTTTAATTGAGGAAAGCATATCGAATAACTAACGCTACTGTCCAAATTTTCAAAGTTCGAACGAAGTTGTTTCCGAAATATTCTAATGGGTGGTTACCGTGAGACACCTTATATATGTATATAAATGGACGCTAAACTCTAATTACGAAAGCATTTAATAAATTTGTATTTAGCATTATCACTTTTGTATACCTTTTACTTAAATTAGTTTTTTTTGCAGCTGTTTGGCCCGAACTTTGCAATAGTGGAACCAGACAATCTCCAATCAACATTCAAACATCTTCCACAAAACAAACGTATTTGTTACCTTTTATATTCACTGGGTATTCCGAACGTTTTTTTGCTAATGTAACTAATACTGGCCATACAGGTAAGACACAGTCAACGATATATAAAAGATATAAAGTGTATTAGTGAATTAATTTTAGAATTAATTTTACCCATTACAGATAACTTTAAATTAATAGGGAAAAATTGTTGCTGCTGCCATCTGTGCTTGCCGGGAATTGAACGCGGGCCCCTGATTTTACGGACAGTAGTCTACCACTAAGTTATAAGGAGGTGACAGCAGCAACCTAACGATATATGTACCTCAAACTATAGGCTCCAGAATCGTCGGACTAATGTATAATCTTTATAATTTCAAAAGGCATAATGTTACAAATAGTATATTATTCGATTGATTATTCCAGACAGAATATTATTTAGGTGGAAGAAGTATTACACTTATTAAAGGTGGGGGTTAAGCAACTGCAGAGAATGGATAAATTAAATATTTAGAGGAGGAGAATTATGATCTATCTGATTATTGATAAGCTTAATATGTTTAATTTATTAATTTCTAGTCGTTCTATTTGTCTATATTTACCTCTAAAACTCACTATTATACCGTCTACTGGACAAGTAACAATAACTTATCATTTTTTAAATCACATCTACAAGTTTAAATCCACTTTATTAGATATGAATCTATAAGCTTTCCACATATAATAATTAGACTTTTTTTTGTAGGACATCACACACAGACACACTAATAGATTTTACATATATATGTCATTGCAACCACTTTCACACAAATTATTACCTACCTTTTTTCATTCCAGACTCTTAACACTATCTGTCTAATTAATTAAAAAAAAGAACTTAACAGAACTATGTCAACAACGCAGAGCTCATGTTATTTTGATTTTAGAATTTTGCAGTTGGAAGGGGAAGATTAAAAATTGAATATAGCCGATTTAAAATTAAATTTATTGGAATATCCAGAATCTAATGATTTAAACTTATTAGGCTTAATTATTATTTATGATGAAATTGATGTAAATAATTATTGTACTGTTATAAACGTTTAGTCCCCTCTTCTTCGATTCTCTTTTTTATTTTTATTCTCCAAAAATAATCTCAAAAAGTTATTGAAATTAAATATCTATTTCTTCCTTCGTAAAGTTCCCATATGGCTCTATTTAAATTATTAAAGTATCCATAATTTTGAGAGCTTGTGGATCTTCTTGTCTCTATATTTCTTTTATATTTAGACGATAACTTAAATAAATTCTCATTTCAGTAAAAATAAACTTACAAAATAATGGTAAAGTTCCTACAGTAGAAAGGGGTGGGTTACCAGGCACTTACGCTTTGGATTCTGTTCATTTTCATTGGAATTCTGAACACACAATAAACGGCTATAGGTAAGTAAGACATTTAATAAACTCTTCTGTAGAAATTTTCAAGTTTTGTTTCTTCTTTAATTTCCAAGGTATCCTGCCGAGCTTCATGCAGTGCACTATAATGTCCAGTATGGAAATTTGGATAATGCAACAATACGTGAAAATGGTCTTGCAGTATTTTCTATTTTGTTCGAAGTATGTTTACACAAACAACCATCAATAGCAATTAACTATTATGTTAAGTTTTCGATTATTATAAGGGTGATATACCATTAAAGCTGATATTTATCAAGTTACAATTACTTGAAGATGAAAATTTTAGGTATTTTAAGTATTTACAAAAGCTTCACGTAAATCGGAAAAGTTAAAACATTTAATTTATCTTTTATTTAAAGTAGAGACTGAAGGTCTAAAGATACACTTGTATTTTATATTCATTTAAACGAATCACTTTATAAAATCTGTAACAAATCATTTTCTTCAATTGGCACCACATAGGTTTGGTTGCACGAACAGATAGAGTAATTGACAAGTATCACAGTTATTTTTTGATAATTTTTCGTTTAACGTTTAATTTATCGAAATCACGAACAATAATCTTCTAGAAGTCCGTGAAGAAATTATGAAATTGGCTAGAGATGCTAGTTTTGAAAATATCGTCATTAAGTGCTTCTAGAAGAAGCAGAAATTAATGCGTACTTTCATTTCATATAACATAGACAGACTTTAGATAAATCAACACGATGTTTTTTGAAAATATGTAAATGAAACACGTTAAAATCATATTTCATTTTTAACAAGGCATGTAGTTGTAACTGCTTGTGGACATTTTACATATTAATATAATGGTTTATTATCAGATTTCTTCCGATGATGATAAGTACTTCAGTCCTATTATGAAGGTGATCGAAAAAGTAGATAATACTGTTGGAATGACAGCGCAAACCAACGAATCCTTTTCTCCTGACATATTTTTTCCACGTGATACTTCTGGGTATTACCGCTATATTGGATCATTAACCACACCAGATTGCAATGAAGGTGTAATATGGACACTATTTACAAATACATTACATATCTCTGAATCTCAGGTGGGTATTATACGCATTTCTTCTTTCACTTTGTTTACCGTAAATTTATTTCCAGCACAAATTTTATTACACGATAGCATTTAACAAGTAGGGTATTTTCAAATGTATATTTAAGGAATTATTTATTATTATAGTTAAAAGCATTTTATCATAACGAAGATTATAATAGGGAATATCTATAAAAGATTATTTTACTGTCATTAATATAAAAAAAGCACAATAAGTACTAAATGATTTATTCGAGTGAAGAAAGACTATATTTCTACCTTGCCCGATATCCTCTGCGGTGGTATATCTGCATAAGTACACATTAAGTATACTTCGTTTAGTTTCTCTAGCGATGTGACCTTTAGTTTGACCGGTGCAAAGTAGAAAAGAACAGCACTAGGCCTGAAAAGAAAGGAGACAACTCTCGGCCAAACTCTTAACCAGTGAGAAGCGTATAATCCGTACAGTACTGCACGGAAAAAATAATCATTTTATCCACTAAAAGCTGCTTTGCTCGAATGTGCTGTTATTGGTACCAATTACTACTGATAGTATCAACGAGATGATTATTTATATTTGAAGATTTATAAAGGCTTTGACGCTTGTTTTCAACTCGCACTACTATTCATGACTGAACAAAACTTTTGGCAGGTACTGTATGAACAAGAGCGAGCCGAGAGTATAATGAGCTTTTTTCTCCCTGGCTACGATTTTGCCAGCGCGCATCCAAGACATTGGAAAGGACACAGCGTTAGACAAAGTAAATGAAGTATATATAATTTTTGTTTACAACGTTGTATGCAACAACTCTAATTTCAATAATCAAACTATCGACAATGTCCTCTCTTTTTCCTTCTATTTTACGATTTTCTAGCTTTTTGTAAGCACTGATCTGCTAATTATAAGAATGGTTACCTAGTATAAAAAGTAAATACGATACATGTTTACATACAAACAGCTCACGTCGGCAGTAATTTTGATACGATTTGTTCTAGGTCTCGTATTTTACAAGTATGTGGTCAGAAACAGGTCTTCTAACAGAAAACTATAGAACTCAGCAGCCTATCAATGGTCGTCCGGTATACGAGAAGATTAGCCCACTTCCAAAAGTAATAACGATAGTTACATCAAATGCTAGTAAAGTAGCATACATCAAATTGTTAATGCTATTCTCAATAATATATTTGTATTTAAAGTAACATCTGTTCTTGTGTAATGTCCTCCTCACTGTTGTAACAATAAGCTCTTTCTTCTGTGTAAACACTACCGCACAGGTAAAATATTTAAAACTGGGATCGGGTAAATACAAAGCTGTTTTTCATTTTTATTAGGAAAATTTGTAATCCAAACTATAATTTGCTTTGTAGGTGTTTTATGCAATTGTCACTACCTCAATTTTGTTATAACTATATTTATAGTAGTTGTATAGATATATTTATTACTACATATATATCATCGGCATCATAAGATAGTCTGAAGAGATACACCTGCACGTTTTTCTAGTCTAAGCCATTCGCATTTCCCTAGCTTTATGGTATCCTAAAGTTTAATTCTTAAAGTGATAAAAGGGCCGATTTTAATCTCAGATCAAAAACTGAGGAACTAGAAATAACTGTAAGTGACGATAAATAGAAAACCGTCTGAAAGCCGATTCTTTCTTTTCCGATTCGAGCTTCTCTCAGTAAACGTTTTGATAGTCCAAGAGCTGGCTACATAAATGCGAACTGATCGAATATAAATTTAATTTTTTCTTATAAGATTCCGATAATGTCATCTAAAATTGTGGCCATCTTGCATAAGTCATTGCTGCTGCAATTAGGGCAGTAAAAAGGTTAATCCTGCGTTCTTTTCCGCAAATAAAAATGATCGATTATAGTTCTGCAAATTGGTATTGGTTCATTTAGAGCTCACCAAATTATTAAAAATATTTGCAGAAATGTTGCGGATAAAGGGTCGGGATTGACGATCAGTATATATACTTAGTTGTGCAACTTTGCATACATCAAGGATATTATATAATTAAAATTTTTATGAATTTGTAAAAACCAAAAATGACTGTAGGTAACTAAAAAGATTATTTAAAACCTTGCGCATGAGTTTTTCCTGTATCTGACGATTCTTTATAATAGTAGTTCTTCTTATTCTTCTGAAGCTCATTTCATCCCTGAAAACAATACAACAACGCTTTTCTCCTGTCAGCTCAGATATTGAAGAATCATTAAATTTATTTTGTTATTCAATAGTAAATCATGCTCCACCTAAATTTATATCATTATTACGTCTGAACAAGAATTTTCTTCTTTATCTGACGCATTTACTAATGTAAGTGCATTTTTATTTTATTCTGGAAAAGTGTCAATATTTTTATTGTGAATCCAAATCACACTGAATTTCAAAAAGAACTGAATGGAAATATCTACAATAAATTCGTAACCGGCGAAAAACATTATTTAATTTATAATGCATTTAATAAACCGAAAACAACAGTTTCTCTTGTAAACATTCGTCGGGCATCCGTACAAAATAATTGCTTTTTTATACTTTTGAAATTTTATACGAAATTTTTAAAGAAACTGATTCATTAAGAATGCCTTTATAAAAACTTTTTATGCTCAAATGTGTTCAAAAAGAATAATAGAGCAACAATTTCAAAAACTAAAAAAGAGCACAGAAACGACTTAGCAGAAGAAATGGAAAATGGAGGAATAATTCTACGTGCTGGAAAACCAACAATAATTTTGGAAGAATATGGAAACTCCAAAATATAAGAGATGGAGCTGCATGGACATCCAATCAAAATGCCCGGTTATTGTGGTTTCCAAAATGTTTTCGGCAATGAAAACGCAAGAATGCAAGATTCGCATAGACTACCAGATCCCTACACTAAATTAAATCAGCCGGGCATCACCGGAAATATTTATATTGCTAGAATGATTCTATTGTACACAATTAATAAAATGCATTTTTATATTACTTTCAGTCTTTCATTCCAATAAAGTCAATTGTTTGTTCATTTAAGAGTTTTAATCGCTTTTTAAAAATTTTATTCTCGTATTTATTGGAGTTTGTAAATGTTTCAAATTTTACTTCAAGTTCAAATATATCTTGGTATAAATATCGAAGTAGGGTATAACATTTGTGTGCTCGAAACGGAAAATGCTTGAAGGTTTACAATGTTCTAAAACGAATAATAATCTGTTTGTGACTAAAGATATCCGTTTCTAAACCCAATTCCACAGCGCCTTAAGAATATATCCATCTGAAGAATGACTTTAAATGAATGAAACCTTAGAGGTCAAACAAAACGTATTTTTGCTTTTTTACTGTCGAATGTCCTCTAAGAAGACATCAAAGGACATGAATAGAAACAAGATGGACAGGCCATCGAGGTGTCACGGTATCTTAATAGCTATCTACTTCGGCAGAACAGGAAGTGCCGCAGTGGGGTTTCTAAAATATTTTCATTGGTAAATTTATAGATTTACTCAACTTCAACAATTAGTATTTAACAAACTTTGTGATAATATTCCTTTGGAGAGCTATACGAATGAATACAAAGGCGTAAGCGAATTTCATTTCTGTACCTTTATTCGACGAAGCCAATTAATGTTTTAATTGTTCGAAACATTAACCCTTATTGATCATTGTGACAGTTTTCTCTGAAGACATTCTTTCCCTCTATTATTCGATTGAAACTTTTCAAGTGCTCCAAACAGTCGTTCCGGAATTAAATGTTGCATACATATTCATCACCCAACACTGAAGTTGTTAAATCTTGTTTTTCGGTGATAAAGCTACGCAAATGTAATAAAATATTCAAAAATCAGTATAATAACAAATAGTTTTCTGTGTAATGGAGTTTTCGGAATAATTTTCAAAGCCAGAAGCATTAAGGTTGTATCATCTTTTGTAATAGGTTTGTTTCTACTTCATATAGGAAATGTTTAGTATGCAAACAAACGTCCAATTTTGGAATCATTTTTACGTTTGGCTCTTTATTTTATAAACAATAAGATGTAACAAATACAACAAAGCGTAGCGTATAACTAGTAACAGTCAAAATTATCAAATTTCAATGTAGCTACCTACAAACAAAATTATTCTGAAATGTGTGAAACGGACAAAATTGTTTGAAAAATGAATTACTGAATAAGTAGTGTCAAAGTATCCGCTATTGGAACTCTACAAGCCTTATTTAGTACATGCATAATTTTACCATAATTACTTATGTAAGGCTCCATGGTCAATCTATCACAAATTCCATGATTCCAGTTGTAGTTGTTGTTATATGTTTATAAACTCTATAAGTTATAATATAAACAAACATAATGTAAGTTAGGAGGGTAAGTTCAAAAATAATATTATCCGGCACAATAAAAGCAACAATGTTTTTTTAATAAGAAAGATTATACAAGTACGTTTTTACAGCCAGAGTTCTCTATTAATACTGTCTATTCATTTTTCTGCATTTCCCTATTCGCAAAATGTTCGCGTATATTGTATCGATTCTGATAAGTCATAAATAATATCGAAACATCAACAAATGACAAAGCTGGTTGTATAGCTGGTTGTTTTTAATCGTCAGGAACTGCAAAAATTTTTGATACACTTGAGACACCTCTGAGTAGCGATTCTAACATTCGACTATCCTGCTCTCCAGACTGTCCTTAGGCTGAAATTCATCTAAAAGATCCTTACAAGTTCATAGCGTCTGGAACAAAAATGTTTTGTCTGTTACGGTAACGTCTGAAGGTGGATCTAACACATCAAAGCGTGTTTGTTTCACTCTATAATTTGAAAGAGTCTAACTTTTCTTTCAAGCTCCTTTCGCTCTAGTTGCTGACTCATTGTTAGACAGAACTTAGCGTTTGCGTATTCGGTAAACCTAGTGCTTAAATTATACAAATTTCACTCGAATTCTAGCTTAGGTGAACCTGTCATTTAAGTTATGACCCTTTCACTCGAGTTTCAATCAAAATTTCACAGAGCAATTTTAGAACTTTAGAAAGATGACAAGCCTGATGGTTTCACCTAACCATCTGTCTCATTTACCTCTCGTTCTCAATCCTACGTCTTACAAAAGCGTACCTTTCACTCGTTTTAAGGGTTGGTTCAAAATTATATCTTACTCTGCATGACAATCCAAGGCTTTATCTTGTCTACTGCCACAACTGTTCGGCTTGACCTTTCGGCACTGTCACGCAAGTATTCCACTTCATATCTGTCATTCAACAGGACTTTGGTGACGCGGAATGGAAGCATATATTTTGGGGCAAGTTTCCGACTCTCACCGGTACTCGGATGATCAGTCTTTAGTACAAGTACTAGATCACCAGCACAATACTGCTTGGCCACGGCTCTAGCTTTGTCGAATCTCTGCTTCTGCCGCTTTTGGTCTTCAGTAATTCGTTTCGCAATATCTTCCCTTAACTTGGGTAAGTCTGGTCTTTTCAAGCCTATCTCGATTGTATTCAGGATACACGACTCTGCAACATTTCGAGTTCTGTACCTTGCCAATGCCTCCATTGGACTCACACAATCGGGTTAGTGGTTCTACATTGTTTACAAAGCTCTTTACAAACCATCGGAAATATCCCGATAAACCTAAAAACTGCCTCACTCCTTTAATACTTTGAGGCTCTTTCATGTCTAGAACTGCATTTATTTTGGATTTTCCAGGGCGTACTCTTAACCAACTGATTTCATTGCCTAAGTAATCATTTTTGGTCTTGAAAAATGAGCATTTCGTGGGTTTTTAATGTCAAATTATTCTTTTTAAAGGCTTCTAACACTAGAGAAAGCCTGGATAACCTCTTAACAAAATTTGGACAAGGGATTATTATGTCATCAATGTAGGGAAGTGGTATTGACTGTTTCAAATTTCCCAAAACACTGTTAATTAGTTTTTGATAAACCGCCGGGCTATTGGTGAGGCCAAAAGGTATTCGCAAAAACTCGTAATGCGATTCGGGAGTGACAAATGCTGTTTTCTCTATAGAGTCAGGGGCCATTGACACCTGGTAGAACCCAGAAGCGAGGTCCAGAATTATAAAATATTTTCTTTCGCCTAGTTTATCCAATTGGTCACTTATGAGTAGTAATGGGTATCTGTCTTTTATTGTTACCGCGTTTAATTTGCGATAATCAATGCACATACGGTAGTCATTAGTTTTCTTTTTGACAAGTATTATTGGGCTCGCGTAAGGGTAAGAAGATTCGCGGATAATCTGGTTCGACAACAAATCATTTATTATTTGCATCAGTATGTCTTTGCCTGATCGTGACATTCTGTACGGTCGGTATAAGATTAGCTCTTCCGTAGTGCACTTGATATGCATTTCAATGGCGTTTGTTTTCCCTAAATCAATCATTGAAAACGTTATACAATCCTTGGATGGCTTTAATAAATTTAGAATACGTAAACGTTCCGCCTCTGTTACATTTCCAATGCTAAAAATATCAAAATCAGCATCTCGAACGGTGCTTATAGTATTACAATTGAATGACTCGAATTTATTAGAAAGAGGAGGCAACCTTTTTAAAACAAATCCCGTGGCAGTTTTTGTAAATGATACATGTGGTTGGTTCAAAAAGTCAGTTCCAATTATGACATCATACGACAAATAAACATCGTCGATTATAATAGTGTTTACTTTGACTATAACGTCGTTGATCTTGACTACCACATTCGAAGTGGTGTTGCTTGTTATTTCATTGCCCATGAAACACCTAATAGTAACATCTTTTCCTTCAGTTTGTTTTGAATGTATGTGCTTAGCGACTGACTTTTTCATCACAGTGCACGTACTACCATCAGTGTCTATTAGGTATTGTACTTCTTGCGCATTAATAAAGTCAGTTTTTACGTAAACGTTTTCATTTTTAGAACTAGAAATAACATGTAATTCTTTCGTGTTATTGAATTTAAGGTTTCTCGTTTGGAAGCTTGTTTTGTTTTGTCTCTTGCAATTTTCTTTCTTATGACCGTAAAAATTACTAATTTCGCATTTTATAATGGGTTTCTTACAAAGTTTGACGCGTTGATCGCCGCCACAGTTAAAAATGTTACCGAATGAGGTTTAGGGAGTTTACTTTGGGAAATTTGCGTTTTTTGTCGTACTTTACTGTTCGATTCCTGTACTTTCTTTATTGACTTTTCGGTTGATGCAATGTTTTGTAAATACGCGGCCAACGGCTCTAAAAACGTACGTGTATGCTAATGCCAATGTTACGGAATTCAGCCGCCCGAGCTGATAGTTGGATGTTTGCATCAGTAATACCCTGGATTACACTGTCGACGAGGTAGTGTTCAGGGATTGAAATACCTAAATTTATCAATTTCGAAACTTTTTCAAAGCAATAACTATCTATTTAAATTTTGTCCAGGGGGTGAAGTGTATGTAGCTGTCTCGACCAACAGTTTACCGAATTGAACATTGCTTAGGAAAGCGTTCAAAAGAAATGCTTTCATTTCAGACCAGATTATACACGCTTTATTTAATGAGTCATATCACTTTCGTGCATTACCTCTGAGGCGGCCAGTAGCTAGTCGAACAGTCATATCATCGTTCCAGTGATAAAATATTACCAGTTCATCAACTTTACTGACCCACTTAACCGTGGTTAATTTCTCGGCGGACGGATCAAATCCTGGTATTAAAGTCTCATCCACATGGTATAAACGCATTGGCATTGGTAAAGGGGGTGTAAATGAACGGGTGGTACTTACATTAGCTCGAAGTTCTCTTACTTCCTGTCTAATCCGCGCTAATACATCATTTTGCTCGTTTCGATGCATTTCCTTC